CGGCTCCCGCTCACTGGCTGAGCGAGGCGCGGGAGCAGCACCGAGGCTTGCGATCCCGTTGCCGGTCCCCGGTCCGGTACGGGGGCAACACTGAGGGTTGTGATCCGTTGCCGGACACGGAAAAAAGACAAAAGACAAAAAAAAAAATAAATAAAAATAAAAAAATAAAAATAAAGAACTCTGCTCTCCATTCAAGGCATTTAAAAAAAAGAAAAGGTTCCACTTTTGTTCCTAAAACACACATGCACGTAAATATAAGCATTTCTTGAAGAGAGCCACCCAGAGGAAGCAGAAGCACAGGGAAGGAAATAGATAAAATTCCTGTGCTGTCCATCATGCTATGGATTCAGTTTAGGTATTAGGACTGGAATTAAAACTGTCCACTGCTTTTTCTAACATGGAACAACAGGAGGATTTCGCAACTTGTCCCAAGTCTAAGCGATGCCACCGGCTCTCCACATGCAGGCCACCACCACCAATCTGCTGTTTGCTGCAAATGCAATTTGGCATGTCAACTGGACTGACAGAAAATGCAGTGTGGCTTTGCCCCCAAACAAACACAAAACACTCCTGGGCTGGCAGCTTAACTTCTTTCTTTTCAATTCCAGATCTTTTATCTCGGTCATGATTCTGCAATAATGCTGGGCATATGGAGCTCTCTCCTCTGAAGGGGAGAAACTGGCTCTTTTCGGTGCATCCCACTGGGCGGTTTGAGATCATTTACTGAAAGGTAAGTTAGTTGGCTGCACAGCTGACAACAGGACTTCTTGATCTTTGGGGATCAAGAAGTCATTCAAAACATTGCTATAATGAACATTTGAGGGACAATTTAAAATAGGGAATATATACTGGAGGATATCACTGAATTAATGATCATTTTCTTAGGAGTGACATGGTATTGAGGCCCTATTCCTAGGAGACACCTGTGGAGGTATTTAGGGGAGAAATGTCGCATGGGCACAAGTCACAGTCGAGTGCATCAGCATTTATGACTAAAATGTGAACAGTGAAGCGAGGTGAAGGATATGTAAGTGTTTGCAGTGCCATTCTTTTCTGAGGATTTAAACATTTCCAAAATAAAATCTGAAAATTTTAAAATAAAAAGATGTAGCAAAAAGGGGAGAGAAAGTCTGCTCAGAGAAAAACAGCAGCAGCCCAAACAACTTTTTCCCAGTTGGACTTCGGTACTGTGAGAGGGGATGCACTGATTATCTCCGCAAGAGGGAACGAAACCGGAGAAGCTGCTCCTCACAGGCCTGCCCTCCCATCTTCCTTGAACTAGGAAGCTAAGGAGAAACAAAGCTACACGTCTGCCCTTCTATGTCTAATTTCCATCTTACTCTAGAGCGGTCACAAGCAGCAGAGGAAGCAAGACAGACTCTGCATCCATTTGGACACCGTCCTCCGGACTGGGAAGTAAATGACACCAACGAAGCCTCCTCCTGCATCTGCCCTTCAATGCAGACAAATTTCCCGTGTGCCCATTTGGTGACCTTGCCGCAGAAGTGTCACAGAAGTGGGGAGCTCAACCCCAAAGAGCTGGAGAGTAGTTATTCTTAGAAGCCCATTTAGAATGGGCTCTGAGTCAATATTTTGATAAGAATGCCACTTGTGCATTTTTTAAATGGGTGGAAGCCTTCCTAGCCAATCTTCCAGTTCGGGTTCGATTCCGTCACGGTAATGTAATTTGCATAGACCTTTTGAAGGTCATACATGTAAATTAGCCTTCAAACTACAAAGCACACCTTAGCTGTGAGAATAGTACTAAAACAGCAACTAGTGATTTTAAAAGCATTTAAAATTCATCTGAACAGGGGCCGGCCCGGTGGCGCACTGGATAGTGCGCCGCTTGGGAAGCGCGGCGGCGCTCCCGTCCGAGGGTTCGGATCCCACATACAGACCGGCTCCCGCTCACTGGCTGAGCGAGGCGCGGGAGCAACACCGAGGCTTGCGATCCCGTTGCCGGTCCCCGGTCCGGTACGGGGGTAACACTGAGGTTTGCGATCCGTTGCCGGACACGGAAAAAAGACAAAAAAGACAAAAAAAAATAAATAAAAAAAAAAAATAAATAAAATAAAATAAAATTCATCTGAACAAATATTTACATTTCAGTGTTTCATCTTGTTGGTTGCCCTAATGTCTTCAGGTTTAAAGAATTACTAATTCCGGGCCGGCCCGGTGGCACACTGGAAAGTGCACCGCTTGGGAGTGCGGTGGTGCTCCCGCCGAGGGTTCGGATCCCATTTGGAGACCGGTTCCCGCTCACTGGCTGAGCGTGGTGCGGGCGCAAGACTGAGGGTTGCGATCCCGTTGCCGGTCCCTGGTACGGGCGCGACACTGAGGGTTGCGATCCCGTTACCGGTCAGTAAAAAAGACAAAAAGGGAAAAAAAAAAAAAAAAAGAATTACTAATTCCTATTATTTGTTTTAAATCAGGGATTGGCAGGGGCCAGCTCGTGGCTCACTCGGGAGAGTGCGGTGCTGATAACACCAAGGCCATGGGTTCAGATCCCATATAGGGATGGCTGGTTCCCTCACTTGGGAGAGCGTGGTGCTGACAACACCAAGTCAAGGGTTAAGATCCCCTTACCGGTCATCTTTAAAAAATAAATAAATAAGTCAGGGATTGGCAAACTTTTTTTCTACAAAAGGTCACATATTGAGTATCTCTGACTTTGCAGGCCGTATGATCTCTGTCCATACAGCCACAGAATACTGTAGTAAGGGGGAAGGGTGTGGCTATGCTCCAATAACACTTTATTTACAAAAACAAGCAGTAGTGGTAGATCTTAAGTTTGCTGACCCCTGTTTGATCTTTTTTGTTTTTGTTTGTTTTTTTCTATTTCATTTTTGTTGTTGTTGCTGACCCCTGTTCTAAACTAAAGTGAAAAAAAAAAAGGAAAAAGAAAAAAGAAACTAAAAGTGGTTCAAATAATAAATCATAATAAATAAATCAAAATAATAGATCATAATAAACTTCAAAATTCTAGAAAATTCTGATTCTAGTGAACCCTGGAGAAAAATGACCTTAACATCTAAAACAGAGATCTAATACATCCAACTCCTCAGACTTTAATATTCTGTTTCTAAAAACTAGGGCCCCTTCATATTGACTGAACCTCCAAAGGACAAATAATAAAAACACACATATAAGCTGTATTGGTCAGGGACCAAATGAGAGGACACAGAAGAGTACCTTGAAATTGTATGCATCTTGAAAATAGCACCTGGATAACCAAATCAAAACTGGAAGAAAGTTTTCAAAGATTTGTTGCTTCCTTCCTCAGCAAAAGAATTAATAGGAAAGTTTAATGTAAGAATGAGACTAAATAGTTACTACAAGTTTGCTAAATAGTAATTAAAAGTTACAAGCCTGGTTGATAAGCCCAGGCTAACACAGATGCAACTTGTGTGTGGGCATGGGGGGTGGCATTTAGGGCTGCTGCTTCTATTTCCTATTCTCCTCTCCCTCTCCTTCCCTCCCTCCCTCCCTTGCAGAGAGAGCACTTGAATACTGTCCAGGAAAACTAGACCACACAAAAGGAGAATCTCTGGCTTCTTTTCTCAGACCAAGGTATGGGATCTAAGAGCAGTAGCTAGGGTGCCATGAATTCCAAATTGCCAGACCAGCAGCTCCCAGCCTGGGAACTGGTCACCCTGCAAGAGGATTGGGAATCCACCGGAGCACAGTCTGTGGATCATGAACACTGAGCCGACGAGATTCTCAAAATGCTGTTATTATTAAGAGATGCAAACATACTTCCAAACGTTCTGAACCCAGTGCAGCACTTGGTCACCATAAAAAGTTGCAGCCAGCAATATGTTACAACCACCGTCCCAGGGCGTCAGTGGGAGAGACCATACAATTTTTAGATAAATAGAGGGAGTGCTCATACAGGCTGGGGAGTCACTGTGACACAGCATCTATTAACTTCTGACACAACTCTGACCTTCCAGCCCGATTTGTCAGGGAGGGGTATAAGCCAACGGCACCAAGGTGAACACCACTGCCTACCATTGTCTCGTCACAGTATCCTACCGTCACACCAGTCAGACCTTGACAGGGTGCTGGCTCGTCACTGTGAGTCTGGCAAGGTGTTTCCAATAACCAACAACAGTGTGATCTAGACACACACAATCCAAGGGAGAAGCAACCTCACAAAGATGGATGCTGATTATATAACGCAAGCAATCTGATAATTATTCTAAGTTCACTTATGCCTCGTTCGTTGGAGCAAAAAAAGTCCCCCTAAAATCTTTAAAGGTCCTGATTCCCCTTTAACCACCATTGCCTCCTTCCCCTTTCCTTCCATCCTCCCCACCTTCCTTCCTTCTCTACTCCCTTCCTTCCACTTCTTTTCTCCTACTCTGTTCCTCTGCTGCTGGTTTTCCTCATGTACAGTGGCATTTCTAAAACAAATGGCTAGGAATTGGGAAGAAACTTTCTAACACTGTTCTATTATAGAGTCTCACTCTCTGAACCCTTTCCACAACAGAGCCTTTTTAACCTCTCTCCATGGTAACCTGAAGCCACTGAGCCTTTTTCCTCTCAGCTCAATGTGAAGGCTTAAAGGCCCCTGGCTTGGGTCTCCCCATCTGTGGGCAGAGGCAGCCTTGGCAATGAGGCCTGGAGCAAAGACTCTCTGGGAGAGAACACATCAGTGTAAGGAAGTGAAGAGAGAACATACCAGCCCCTTACCTTTTGTCCTTTATCCTTCTGAAACACAAAGACGGGCGGAGCAATGGCAGGCTTTTCTGCAAAGAGAAAAATTGGTTTTTGTCCCCCCAACACTATATTCATACAGTAAACAAAGCTACATATCTTTGTAATAAGTTTTTAAAAAGTATATATATATATATATACCAAAGAGAAAAATTGGTTTTTGTCCCCCCAACACTATATTCATACAGTAAACAAAGCTACATCTCTTTGTAATAAGTTTTTAAAAAGTATATATATATATATATACACACACACACACACATACACATATATACATATATATACCTAGTAACTCCTAAGAACATCAAATCACTTAGAACAGCTTCTTGCCATGGACACCTGAATGTGGGTGTGTTCACTTTATGACAATTCAACACTTAAGGGTATGATACGTGCCCTTTTCTATACACACATTATACGTGTATAACCAAGACCTTCCAAGACTATGAGAACAGGCCATGTCATTGAGAGTGGAGAGCGGCGTGGAGTGTGATGAACTGAAGGGCATCCGGGGCAGCCACTATTCAGTGCCATCAACTGTGCCCTTCCAGGAACGCAGCTCAGAGACATCACATCTTTATGTGGCACTTCCTCAATTTCAAATGTTGGAGACTAATTTCGTTTTTATTTTAGTTTTTAATTGCAGGCCAGGTGTGGCCAGAGGGTGACCAGTCTTCAACCTCCGGCCGCACTGCTCCTCCTCATTACTGTAGAGTAATTCCAACATCTGACCTGGATCTCTAAGTGAGCCCTTGTTAAAAAGAAAGAATTTATGGAGTTCCTGAAAGTTTGAGAGTACATCTGGGACGGCTGCTATTGAAGGAAGAAACACTTTGGGATATTCTGTCACCTGATGGGACAAGAGCAACACAGCCTGTCGTTCCCACACAACACCATTTGTCTCCTATGTGGCGCAGCCAAACCCACAGCCCTTTGCCACTTGGCCCTGGCGTGTGCAGCAGCTCAGGAAGCCCCTGCTGCCCGCCATGGGAGATGCGGACGAGGACTGCCTCGACCCCACAGGTCACACCCGCTCCACAGCCCTGGGCCTGGGCACACTGTGATGTACCCTGTGGGGTGAAGGGCCTCCTTCACCATTCAAAGCACAGAGGACCCCATGTGGATGTGTAGTTGTTAATCTGGTTAGCACCTGCTACACACCCTGCCTCAGTGGTGGGCAACATTCGGACACAGCCCTGCTCTTACAGGGCCCTGATCATGGAGAGCCAAGCCAGATGTTAAGCAAGAACTGTGCACTGGCATGGCATCACCATGAGAGCACTCCGCGTGGGGCGCCAGCTCGGCTCAGTCTGCTCTAGTGTTGGGAGAAGGTCCCTGGAAGAGGGAGTTGTGCTGAGCTCTCAAGGAGAAGAGATGGAAAGGAGAGTGGCAGGCTCAAAAGCATAGGTCCTAGGATGACAGGGAACAGAGGGGCAGATGGTGGCCATGCTGAGGGGAAGTGTCATAAAAGGCATGAGGAAGCACGTATAGGTTTAAACAGAGAACGGTCTGGGAAAGGGAGAGTGAGGGTGGATGTGGGGAGACCAGTTGGGCAGCAATTACAAGCACCCACAATAAAGATGGGGCTCACAGCAGATTTGAGGGGAGAAGGGACAGCACCAAGACGATCAAAGGGACACCATCCCACTCCTGGAGAGGCAGAACAGATGCTGGTCTTGACCTTGGGACAGCAGTCCATAGGCTGGCAGCCCACTGATGGTGACACTGCCCACACCATGTTCCCTGAAGCCTCACCCCAACAGCATGTGATTCATGGAACACGGCCCATGGGAGATACCGGGGTGAATGACATACACAAGACTGCATCAGGTGGGGGGCGGAGGGGTCTCCAACCAGACCTCCACGCTTCCCTAGGTGGCCACGTCCCTGGCACAGTGCATAGCTGCTGCTCGACAAACTCGAGTGAATGAATGAATGTATGGATGTGCCTATGCCGACAATAAATAACGCCAAGAGAATACTGGAGGGCCTCTGGGGCAGAGGGGCAGCTTATCCACACCACATCTGCTACCAAGGATCCCAGAGGCATTCTGGTGCTGGCCCTGTACCCCACAAGCCCCAGCCCCCACTTCTGCATTTAAGAGAATACTGGAGGGCCTCTGGGGCAGAGGGGCAGCTTATCCACACCACATCTGCTACCAGGGATCCCAGAGGCATTCTGGTGCTGGCCCTGTACCCCACAAGCCCCAGCCCCCACTTCTGCATTTGACTCCCAGCCAGTGGCAAGGTGCCCAGACACACAGGAAGGAGAGCCAGGGTTTTGGCCAGCTCAGCATCCCCCCAACCCCCACTGTCTTTAGGGGACCACCCCTCCTCTGCCTCCCCACTTCGGATGGAGCCAACCTCAGTCCTAGCCCCAGCCTGACAAGGACAGCACTTCCCGTCCTGGCCCTAGGGGACACTGTGGCATGTGAATAAGACGAGGCATTTTGTTGTAGCTACGGGGGAAGAGGCATTCTTTCTGCAATGCTGCTGAGCTGGTGATTTACGGCCCTGAGGTTGCCAGTAGCCAGGTGTCACCCACTGCAAGGGGCCTTAGACCAGAGCCAACCCAGGGGGAAGCAGAGCTGGAGATGGAGGGAGACTGAATTTTGGCGACAATGGTGGGGGCCCTGAGTGGAGCTCGACCGAGAGCTAAACTTGCCCCCAGACTTTTCAGTTAAGCTAATAAATGCTGATTTTAGCTTTAGTCAGGTTGAGCTAGATTTCTGCCCCTTGTTACACTAACAGGCTCCAACCTGAGAGAGGTGCAGTCTAGCCACTGCAGACTTAATTAAACATGTGCTATACTCGGGCACTCTGTAGAAGAAATCTTGGACTAGCCCCAAAGTGAAACTAAAATGCTTTCTCTTTCTTCATACCAAGTAGCACCACCTGATCCACTATGTACTTATGGGTTTATGGTCATCCTCCTCACTAGGATATAAACTCCATGAGATGGAGACTCTGCTTTGCTCCCCTTGGCATCTCCTGGTCTAAGAACAGTACTTGACACACTGTAGGGATTCAACAAATACTGGCTGAAGGGATGAATAAGAAGAGGTGTCATTAGAGAAGATGGACACAAGGCGAGGACACATGGCACCCAGCTAGAAAGGAAGACAAGGATGGGGGCAGGATTATCTGGATGGGAGAGGAAGGGCTTTCTTGTGAGAACTGTGTCACTGCTCTGCAGGCACACAAGAGGGCTGCAGTGATGTGGGTGACAAAGTAAGGCATGGAATTCCAGAGTTGCACAAGTCCCATCCAGAGCCTTCTGGAGCACCTGGGAGGGTCGAGGGCATAGGCCAGGAGAGGACCCATCTGATGGAGGAATAACCCTGGGGACAGAGCAGAGGGAGACTATGGAAGGCGATGTGGGGGTCGAGCTCTGAAAGCATCCACTCAGGGAACAGCAAAGCCACAAAGCTGGGTGACATCCAATCTGACACTCCCCCATGTACACCCATCTCCTCTTCCCAGTACCTACCACTACCACTGATCTCAGGTCTTCCTTCTTCCTCCGCCTCTGCTCTCACCCTTTAAGTCCAGCTTCCACAGAGCAGCCAGACCACTGGTGTCAAACACATGCTTAAAACTGCACCGTCCCCCCACAGACTAGGGTCTGAGCACCTTCGAACAGGCCACACCCAAGCTGCTCTTCCTCTGCCTCCCACCTGCCATAGTGGCACTGAGGAATCTACTGTCCCCTGCACGCCCCATGCTATGGTGTGCCACTGGACTTCTGCTTGGTTTAGTCCCTCTGCCTAGAACGCGTGTTCACCTTCTGTTCTGTGCAGACACTTACTCCTGTACAGACAGCATCTCCTTCAGGGAGCTCAACCACACACCTGTCCCACTGTGCTCCCTCCTAAGCATGCCTCTGGCTTCTATCCTGCCATGGGTCACAACGAGGTTACTTGATGAGGGGCTGAGAGACCACGGACACAACACCCGACAGGTCTGCCCCCAGTATATCACCTGGTGTACACCATATAAAAACCATCCAGTAAATGCGTGCATGAAACGTCCCTCTACTTTTTCACATACATAACACTGGGTGATTATGCTATGTAATCACATAAACGTGTATTAAACTCTTATTCTGTGCAAAGCACCACAGGACAAATGGAGAATGGGAAGCTGAGAACAGAAGCCTTCAGGGTAAAACATCAGATTAAAAAGGAGGGGGTGTGTTTGCACAGGGTGGCCTGGCACTGTGGAGCCCTAGAGCACCTAGAGAATTCTTGTGCTTGCTGACAGCATCCTCCCCTAGGTTGTAAGCTCTACAAGAGTGGGCCCTCGTCTGTTTTGTTTATCTCTGTATGCTCAGCCTCAGCTTCAGAGCTTCATTCATCACAGGACCTCAGCAAGCAGTTATGGAGTGAATGAAATGTCGCACACCACAAAGACTGGGACTTGGTGAGGCATGGTCAGGGTTCTCCAGGAGAACAGAACCAACAGGATACAGTAATAGGAGACTATGGCAGTCCAGCTTGGCCCACTGGGACCCTGCTGGTGGCAGGTATGGCGTTCATGATTACCCTAACAACAACACTAACTAAAACATAGAAATGAACTTCAGTCCCATTTCCACCCAAAACACAAAGCATCAGAGTTACACACACTGCACTGCTGCTCAGCTCTTGTAGCTCCAAAAGTCCATAACCTGGAAACTGGCATTGATGTTACAAAACAACAACATACACAAGCCCCATTCCAGGTAGGATTGCCCCACACTTACCACAGTAGGCACAGACTGTTTTCTTTAACCATCCTGCATCACCAAACTGCTTCTGGTTATGTCAGTGAGTAAGCAGCATTCGTCCCACTACCTGAAACCCAAGTATGGGGAGCAGACGGGACTGGAAGCAGTGAGGCTTCTATAACTTGCTTTAATACCCAGCCCAGCTTTTCTTTCACAGGTGAAGGGAAAACCACCATCGGAGATTTCTAGAGACCCAGGCCACCATGAAGACTGAAAATACTAAAATATTCATCAAATGCAGATTCTATCAATCAATCACCCCCT